GGTATATATATATATATATGTATATATAATATATGTATATTAATATAATATATGTATATTAATATATATAATATATGTATATTAATATAATATATATTATAATAATATTATATATATTATAATTGAAACTTATCAATTAGTGTCAGTAGCTGCAGTGAGAAAGGGTATTTACGCAGTTAACAATTGAAATCATGTACAAAATATATGAATTACTTCCTTTTAATTCCACCATCTTGAAATTGTAAATGAGTATAATTCCAGGTAAGCAATACATGTAACATTATCAACATAAATCCAAAGGTAAGTAATACTCCAGGTAAGTAATATTCACAATACTGTATAAGCTGCATAAAAGTGATAATTGATGATCTGAACAGTAAACTGAACATACAGTGGACTGAACAGTGAACAAGAAATAATGTAAGAACCGGTAAAACAATGGTGCTCTCTCAATGACTGCTTCACTGCTACTGAGCAGAACAAAGGAAAACTAGAGCCAACTGTGGTAAACATCACCTGAACTAAATAATATGCAAATATCTAAGCTGTAAAGTTAGTGAATAACTTAATGGTACACAGCAGGGTATATCTGCAGTTACAAGAATATATAAATATGATTTTGATATAATATGATCCTTGCAAAATACAATTAATGCAATAAGTTAAAGTAAAATTTAATTTTAAAGAAAACAGTTCAAGTAAATGTTCATTTTTACTTCTGGAATATGATCAGTCCATTCTTTAATAATATTAACAAAAATGTTCTCCAAGATTTGGCTCCCAGTCGGGGATTGGACCATTTGCTTGTTACAATCAATCATGCTTCTTAACAAGTAATAGCAATTTATGTATCTGCCTCTCTAAAAATCCACCTTTGTGTCGCAACTTCACTTTTCTCACAAGACCATCCTTGCTAGCATGCGCTTCCACGATAGTTCAAAGTCTCCATTGATTACGAGGAGAATTATCTTCCTTTATTAAGACTATGTCCCCAACAGATATGTTTCTTTTTTCCTCATTCCACATTTTGACGGGACTGAAGAATCACTAAATATTCAGCTTCCCATCTATGCCAAAATTGATCAGCCATATACTGGACACGTCGCCATTTTCTACGGCAATAGACATCTGCTGACTGAAATTCTCCTGGAGGTGGAAGCAATACATTGGATTTCATAGTTAAGAAATGGTTAGGCGTGAGTGGCTCAGGAGCTGTAGGGTCTGACATATTACAAACTGTCAATGGTCTCGAATTTACTATATTCTGGACTACACAAAGAAATGTGCGGAACGTTTCATCATTCAGTTGCTCTCCACATTTGTTCAATAAAGGCTCTAGTGCACTGCGCACTGTCCTAATCTGGCGTTCCCAGACTCCTCCCATGTGACTAGCAGTTGGGACATTAAACAGCCATTCGCATTGATGTTCACGGAGGAAATGTTATACTTTAGAAAATTCGTTGTGTGTACCAACAAAATTAGTTCCTCGATCAGATCTCATCTGACGTACTGAACCTCTTACACAAACAAATCGACGAAGAGCATTGATAAAAGCATTTGCTTCCAACGAATTTACAGTTACTAGGTGTATTGCTCTAGACGCCATACACGTAAACAAGACACCATACCTTTTTACATTACTCCTTCGTTCCTTGATCATAAATGGCCCGAAGATGTCAACTGCACAGTAGCTAAATGGTGGGGATTCTTCAAATCTATCCTTAGGTAAATCTGACATCTTTTGTGTACTTAATTGACCTCTCAATTTCTTACAGATCACACATTCACGGATGCATCTCGAAACTGAATTTGTCGCTCCAATTACCCAATATCTATTCTGTCGCAGTGCATTGATAGTGGAACTTCTGCCCATATGACTTACTTTCTTATGATGGTAATCAATGAGAAGATGAGCTAAATGTGAATTTCTAGGTATAATAACAGCTTGATCTCCCTAGGCATGGATGAATTACGAATACGTCCTCCCGGTCGTAAAACATTAACGTCATCTAGAAAAGGGTCCAACTGACTAAAGCATGACCTCATGAGTGCAGATTTCTTATACTTCTCATAATTTCTATTGGTATTTGGTTGATTATGAGACTTAAAGTTCTGAAGTATCTCAATTTCAGGTAAGTAATACTTAGATTGCACAGAAATTATGATTAATGATTCTGCTAACTGCACATCTTATATTGTTGCACTGTGTTGTCCTGAGAATAGGCTCATAACACCATTCTGCTTACACTTCACCTTAGCTGCATTCATTAAACTTTTCTTCAGATTTAAGATGTAAGCAATCACAATTCTAAACATTGACCAACTGGAAAATTTGTATATCCATTTGTTAATACATGTAACATCATTGTGTTGATCGGTTGATGTGGTAAGTATATTAGACGTGGTAAGAACATTAGACTTTTTAAATTCTTTTGATATTACATCAGATACTTGACTTTCACATTGAGTGTCGCCATCTTCTTTCAAGAAAGCTGGTCCACTGAGCCATATTGACTTAAAAAGAAGCTTAGAGACTGATAGTCCTCTGCTGGCATCATCACTGGGATTTTGATTAGATTCAACATAGTTCCATGAATTAACATCAGTAAGATTATGAATTTGTTGAACTCTATTTCCAACATACATTTGATATCAAGTAGATACATTCTAAATATAACCCAATACCACCTTGCGACCAGAAGAATTCTTTAACTGGTACATGTATGTCTAGTCCCTTTTTGACAATCTAATTCATTCTTGCGGAAACCACAGCTGAATTTAACTCTAAACGTGGTATGGTTATTTTCTTGTTAGCAGGAGTGACCCTAGCCTTTCCAACCAGAAAGGAAACAGCTGCTTTCCCATTATTATTGAGGAGACGCAAGTATGAACACTGACCATTGCAACTTCGCTAGCGTCTGAGAAATAATGTAACTCTGCTGACGATAATTCTTCAAAGTCTCGAGGTTTGTAACATCGTGGTATTTTTAATTGACTTAAGCGTACAACATCTTCACACCAGTTTCTCCATCTTGAAGATAATTCTGAGCTCAATGGATCATCCCAATCAAGATTCACCCTACATAATGTTTGAAAAATGAGTTTTCCTACCAGCAAGACAGGCGCAATGAATCCAAAAGGATCATATATAGAGCTGATAGTCTTCAGTACATTTCTCCTGGTTGGGTGATAATCATTAAGTTGAACTCTGTATTTGAAGTTATCACTCTCTATATACCAAGTTACACCTAAAACTCTTTCGATAGGCAATATGTCTGTCTTAATGTTCAAGTCGAGCAACGACTTTCCTCGTGTGCTGTTGAGAACTTTCCTGCTGTTTGATGACCATTTATGCAACCTCAATCCAGCTTGTGCACAAATTTCAGTGCTATCTTTAATAAGTTGCATAGCTTGAGTTTCAGTGGGTAGAGACTTTATTCCGTCATCAACATAGAAATCGTTATGTATAAAATCAGCTGCCAACTTCCCCCACCGCTGTTCTCCATCATCTGCAGCTTTTTTAAGACCAAAGTTAGAGCAACCAGGTAAGCTTGTTGCCCCAAACAAATGAACCATCATGCGGTATTCAATGACAGGACCATCAGGATTGTTGTCTTCAAACCACAAAAACCTCAATAGATCCCTATCTGCCTCTCGAACAAAGAACTGATGAAACATTCCTTTTATATCCGCCATGACTGCCACTGGTTCTTGTCTGAATCTCAATAAAATCCCCAATAAACTATTAATTTGATTTGGTCCGGAAAGCAAGCATTGGTTTAAGGAAGTACCTTGGTAGATTGCAGAACATTCAAAAACTACCCGAATACTGCCTGGTTTCTTGGGATGATAGACACTCCTGTTTGGGGTACATAATTAATTTTACCGATGATTGCCTCTTTATCCATTGGGACCTTTTCTGCACACTTGTCTAATACATCCTTCATGAAACTCAAGTAATCTTTCTTGAAATCAGGTTGCTTGGCAAACCTCTTCTTTAGACCGTTGAATCGATTCAGAGCCAGTGGTTTATTGTCAGGTAACTTTACAAATGGCTCACGTAGAGGCAATGACATTTCGTAATGGCCGTCATTTCTTTGACAAATGTTGTCACTCAATATTTCAAGAAATAACCTCTCTTCAACTGACATGGAGACGCCTACTTGCTTATCATCAAAATCTAGTTCCATCATCTCTCTTACTTTAGCTGGAGAAATAACTTCTTTATAGTTCCTATTCAGAACCACTTTGCTATTGTTAGAGTTAGAGATGCAAGAAATTGCACGATAAGAAATCACTTACACTGTCTGTGTTTTACAGATTGTTCCAACAATACCCCATCCAAGAATAGACTTCTGGGCGTAAGGTTGATCCTCTTCACCTGCGATGATATCTCTCGGTCTGATGATACTAGGAACATTATTTCCAATAAGCAATGGTACAGGAACATTAGGCATGTAAGGCACAACTTGATCAGCTATGGACTTATTATTGCAGGCCTATTGTACGAAGTGTTAAAACGATTACATTAGCGACACGTTTCCAGTACAGTAATACCGCATTAATTGTTGTTACTTGGAAATGTTGTTCTACAGTGCATTTATTCCATCAGAATCGTCCGTTGCACGTTGCCTATGGATAAGAAATGACTTCAACCTAATGCAATCGTTTGATTGGCTAAAAAGACGCGGGGACTGACTTTTTCCGGAGGGCCGGGTTAAATCCATGAAATAATGTCACAACACACCTTTCTCAGCCTACTTCTTGCTGAACATGTAAAGTATTTTAGTTGCGTGGTTGATACCTCTAAAACTAGCTCAAACTTGCGCAAAATCTGAGCGGAATTCGGCTCTTGTTTTCCGAAATGTGCTGACGGATTTCCTCAAAAGGTGATCCCACTTAATTGCCACATCGGGAGTTGGTATCTGTGTTCTTTCTGCTGGTATACTGTTTCTAGTGTACACTGTCTGTAGAGAAATTACTGTTTTCCTATCAAAGCTTACAACTTCTAAATCAGTTATCTTCTCACAGTTGATTAAGGTATTTGCTGAGAACATAGTTGAAAGCTTTAATTGAGTGGGTGTTCCCTTCACACTGAATTGGTCCACCAAATACTGTGACATAAAACATGTGTTACTTTGTGAATCTAAGATGCAGTAAACTAACTTCTCTGTGCTGCTGCCTTTTACTCTAATCCATACAGGTAAAATCATAGAGTTGTCGTTACATTGGGTTTTATCCCCGCATACAACCGTGCATTTACCATCACTAGTCACAGGCTTAACAATATCAGGATTCCAGTGCAAGATAGAAATGTGATCCTTACCACAGTGCTGACATTGTACCCCGGCTTTACATTCAGATGCTATATAATATGATTAGCTTTACCACACTTGAAGCATAATCTCATTGCAAAAAGGAATTTCTTCTTTATACGCCAAGGCTGTTTATTAAACTTCTCACATCTGTCGAATGGGTGTGATGATTTACAATACAAGCATGAGTCAAATTTACTTGAATTAACTTTCTTTACATACCGTCCCTTGCTCTCAGTATTTCCTGCATTCACATTAGTCTTTAATGTAGAATAAGCTTATTTTCTTGGTTTGTTTTCCTTGGAAAAACGAGGAAGTTCCTTTATTTGCCTAGTAGCCTCAAGCATCGGAAGGTTTGCCTCTTCTGCCCTATCTTTCAAGAAAGTTGCAAACTGAGAAAATGATGGATTTACTTGATTTCTTTGGCATGCAGCTACTATTCCCCTCCATTTACTTTCAACATAACTAGGCAACTTTTGTAAAACCTTGCAATTCTCTGCTGAGTAATTAAGTATACCTAGGTCTGGAATTGTAGTTTGGGCTGTAGCTAATTCATTAATGAAGTCTGAGAAGTCACGTAATCCAACATGATCTCTACTAGCAATTCTTGGCCAAGAGTCTAACTTTTTCAGAAATGCTCGTGCAATAACAGAACTGTGGCCATACATATTATACAATTCTTGCCTTGCCTTTAAGTATGCAGTCTCTGTTCCCAGTAATAAGTAGTTGCTTACTAAATTCTTTGGCTTACCATCAAGATGCTGCCTTAGAAGATATAGCTTCTCATTAAATGTCACTGCCTTCGTTTCCACAAGTGAGGAGAATGCTGCTTCCCAAGAACGAAATTTAAGAGGGTCTCCGTCAAACTTTTCAACAACAACAGGCGGCAACTTAAATGAATCTGTAAGCTGACGCAGTACGTGGGTGTCATATATTGGTAGTTTATCCTGATTAACACAAGTAGATGTACCATATGTCGCACTATTAAATGTTGTACAAACAGGAATATAAGTTGAAGTAGCATTCACATAAATTGAAGTCCCAGTCTTTGTATTCTCAAAAGTTGCAGAAGCTGTACAGTTAATATTAGTGGTAGGTACACTAGAAGACATTGCATCACACACATTAACATGTGGAATTCTATGATTTCTAACAGTATCCTCAGCTGAGTATATATCTGTAAACGATAAAGGATTATTAACATTTTCATGCATATTGACAATTCTTGTAGCAGGTAATGTATAATTCATAAAATTAGTACTTGGTGCAGTAAAAGTTATATCGGTTGAGTCCATTGTGCTTGAACCCATTACTCCTGTCACATTGGTTGAAGTGCCTTTCATCAATCCTGCAATATAAGATGGAGTAGAGGTATTAGGTGTACTTGAACAGGTAGTTGAAACAGTGACAGGAACAGTAACTGGCATAACACTATAGCTTGTACTGACTGATGGCACAAACACTGGAACGTTCATCAAACTACCAGGAGCTGATGATGTAACAGCATAACTTATAGATGTACACATGGTGGGTATTGTAGTAGTAGTACATGTTAAATTGACAGACGTTACAGATGCCGTTACTGTAGACTTATTAGCAATATATGGTGCAACAGATACATTGACATAGGTTGAACTAACAGGCACTGTATTCATAGCACTGGATGAAGAAATTACTTGCAAGCTATCGACACATGTAGACGAAAACACACCATGAGCCGAAGAAGTAGTTGTAGTTTGAGCTGATTCTGCAATTGGCATAGATACAATTTTTTGTGGTTCACTTACTACAATTACATTAGTATCAGGAAGTTCATCTAGAAATCTTTGTAAGCCAACTGACTTATACGTTTCATCTTCTTCCAAAGATGCAAGTGATTCTTCACTTAGAATGCTATATTCTTTTCTCTTCAAGACATCTAGCCTTGCTTCTACTTTCGCCAACTCTTTCTTTTGCTCAATCAATGTTGCTTCAAACTCAAGTTTCATCCTTTCTTCTTCTATATCAAATTTCTGCTCTGCTGCCTTTCTATCCATTTTGAGTTTCTGCTCTTTGAGTTTTTTCTCCATACTACTGAAACTTAGTTCAGCTTTAATTGTTGCAGCTTTGGCTTCTTCCTGTAACTTTAAAGACTCCCGACTTCTAACTGAAGAGTTGGTACAATGGGAATGATGAGAGGAATGCTTTGAAGTACGAGAATGATGTGAAGTTCTTGAGGTACAAGATCTTTGAAAATACTGTGAATAATCATATTTCACACTTGCATTTTCCATGTCACTAATTACAGACTCTTTCACAACATCAGAATGACTAGCCTCTTTGTCTTGTCTGTCTGATACTCTTGTTGCTTCTGTCACTTCATACTGAATGTGTTCAACCATGTTGCTATAATTCGGTATCTCCTCTTCATCTAGAAAAGGTAATAGTTGAGTGTAGGCCACACGGAAACATAACTCCTGCTGTAACAAATTTGGAACCAAACTACCTTTTGGCTCTGGGGTCTCAATGACTGTTACAATCCATTTTCTCAACTTCTTGCGTTCAACTTCAAAAGTACGCATTTTAATTTGACGCTTATACTCAAAACCCTTCTCTGTCATTTTCTTCTCTCTCTTGTGAGGCATTGTTTTACTATAATTGAAACTTATCAATTAGTGTCAGTAGCTGCAGTGAGAAAGGGTATTTACGCAGTTAACAATTGAAATCATGTACAAAATATATGAATTACTTCCTTTTAATTCCACCACCTTGAAACTGTAAATGAGTATAATTTCAGGTAAGCAATACATGTAATATTATCAACATATATCCAAAGGTAAGTAATAATCCAGGTAAGTAATTATTCACAATACTGTATAAGCTGCATAAAAGTGATAATTGATGATCTGAACAGTAAACTGAACATACAGTGGACTGAACAGTGAACAAGAAATAATACTGTAAGAACTGGTAAAACAATGGTGCTCTCTCAATGACTGCTTCACTGCTACTGAGCAGAACTATAGCCAACTGTGGTAAACATCACCTGAACTAAATAATATGCAAATATCTAAGCTGTAAAGCTGTCTCTTATACCCATCTAGATGTGTATAAGAGACAGGAATCGGCCCCCTGTCGGGAAAATCCTGGCGCCGCCCTTGCGCCACTGTCGGTCTGCCTGATGACCAGGGAGCAGTCCATATACAGGGGCAGACCTGGGTTGAAATTAAGGGGGGAGGGGTTCAAAATGTTTGGACAGAAAAGGCTCCCGCCGGGAGCATATGTCCCCTACTGCATTGACTTATTCAAGAAAACATTACTCGACAAAAAGTTAACTGTGAAGTCTTGGTTTCGGCACAGAATACAGGATCTGTACTTTGGGTATGGCCCATAATGAAAACTTGAAGACATCTGCTCACTGAACGGTTCACTGCACACCTTTAACACAGTAAATGTGTCAAAACGGGACCCCCATTTTCTCACAAAATCGACTATATAATTTGAATGGTTTCATTTGGCAATCTGGGGCTATCGGATTCTAAAACTAGATGTTTTAAGCTTTATAATCATCTATATATTCTTAAAATTAATGAAAAATTGAGGGATCATTTTTCTTTCAAAGTTGACTACCTCTTATGCTTTTGCATAGGAAAAAGGTTAAAATTCGAGTGTTTTTTTTGGTATACTTCCTGCTTCTTTTTACCATAACTCTGCAACGACAGGTCGCTAAACTTCGGGGTGAACGGTCAATTGTAGCTCATAAATTAAGCTTTCTTACCATGTAAGTCCCATGCTGGTTGCTTAAATAACCATTGATCATTTTTTTTCCTTTAAAAGTTGTATTTAGAACTGTGTTTACCCTGTCTATGAATGACGTCACACGCTTAAGGCCAATAGCAGCTGCAAATTTCGAGTTTTCTGCAGTTAGTGCGTTCATGCATAAGGTGTAGGTCAAATTTACCTGAATGAATTTTTGTCGAAAATAGGGGAAAAGTTTTCATAATTTGTTGGGGGGGGGGGGGGGGGGGGATC